TAACTCCAGTCTGTCCAAAAAACACACACACAAATTGCTAGAGAAATTTAACAGGTCTGTTAACATCCGTTGAGGGAAAGCAAGTTAACATTTTGAGTCCAGCTCCCCTTCTTCAATCCAATCTCTCTTCATGACTGAAACTCTCCAGCCCAGGCAACATCCTGGTAAATCTCCTCCGCACAATCACAGCCCTCCTATATTGTGGATTCCAGAAATGCGGACAATATCACTGTTTTTCTGGAACCTGCTGCTTGAGCTGACCCTCAGGGCAAAAAGACTGAGGTGAAACTAATTCTCACAACAATTCTGCTAGTCACTTTGTGGAAGAAAAATCCACTGTATTTCCAAAACATCCCATGATGGGGTCAGTACTGGGCAGTAGGTTTTGCCCCGGGGCAGGACCCACTGTAGTCTGCACATTGCAATGAGACCTCCATGTCATAATACAGCTGACATCATCGACGGGAAAGGATACCCCAGGAACATCATGATGCCTGTATCCTTGAGAACGCTCATGTCCCTCCTTCAACATCAAGGTCTGGATGCCTCTCAAGAGGGGAGGCGATGGCCCTAGTGGTATTATCGCTGGACTGTTAATCCGAGACCCAGATAATGTTCTGGGGACTCGGGTTCGAATCCCGCCACGGCAGATGGTGGAATTTGAATTGAATAAAATATCCGGAATTAAGAATCTAACGATGACTGTGAATCCATTGTCGATTGTTGGGAAAACCCATTTGGTTCATTAATGTCCTTTAGGGAAGGAAACTGCCATCCTTACCTGGTCTGGCCTACATGTGACTCCAGACCCACAGCAATGTGGTTGACTCATAACTGCCGCCTGGAAAATTAGGGATTGGCAATGAATGCTGCCTAGCCAGCGACACCCTCATCCTGTGAATGAATAAAACAAAAATGTCCACTAGGAGTCAAGAGCTATCCTCTGCAACCATAACTGATGACTCTGTTACACAACCCCCGACAGAGGCTGAGTGCAGACTCAGTGCCCCCCGTTTTTCTTGAAGCATTGGCCTACTGAAAATGGGATTCCAATGCTTGGATAGATGTGGTGGATGTTGAGACTGGCCATAACGCTAACATGCTGTGTTCTGCACACTGGAGCTGGCAGGGGAGCATATGATGGACTCTGAAGAGGTGGGAGAATGACAGCCATGTTGATTTGATTTGATTTATTAGTTGGGAGAAGGAAGATGAGGACACTGCGCAGGAGGAACATCATCTTCAGCATAACAGAGTGCTGCAGCTACAAGCCACACAGGACTTAATGGGCACACATTTCAAATAAATGTGAACTGGATGCAGTGATCCTTCACTGTCTGTAAATTTGTTGCTGCTCAAAAAGCAAGCAGTCCCTGTCTCTCCTTAGAAACAAACGTTGCTTTTGTTTGTTCTTGTTTCTTCACTTTTGCTGTACATGAAATTTTTCAACCATTTGAAGGCTTTCCAGTCTGCACTGTTCCGCATTGAACAGTGAGGACATGTTAGGCTACTCTGGGCATTGTGGAAAGAGTAGCACTTGTTAGACAAGGTCAGCGTGGGACAGTGGCTCAGTGGTTAGCGCTGCTGCCTCACAGTGCCAGGGACTTGGGTTCAAATCCAGTCTTGGGCAACAGTCTGTGTGGAGATTGCACATTCTCCCCACAAGTGCATGGGTTGACTGTGCTAAATTGCCCATAGTTTCCAGGCTAGTTGGGTTAGCCATGGTAAAAATGCGGGTTTGTCGGGATAGGGTAGGGAGCTGTGTTTAGGGGAGATGCCCTTTGGAGAGTCCATGTAGGCTCAGTGGGCCGAATGGTATCTCCCTGCAATGTAAGGATTCGATGTTCCTATAAAAAGAAATGACATGATTCTAAGGATGGGTGATATGTGTGACTTGGTTCATCAATATGACTATATTAATGAACGTGCACTTATATTTGCAATGATGTGTGAGCCTTTGTGCCCTCAGAACAGTCTCTTTATGGTTCTCCCCCAGACCCCTCTCCCACACGTGAACTGTAAAGAGTAGCTTTGGACTGACAACATTGACCTGGCGTCCAGCTGGGCATTATCCTGGGAGTAAGTCCTTGCAAGTTCTTCTGCCTCTGGTAAGGTGTGTGATTTACAGATGTATAATAATGTCACTTACTTTAGAACTTAGATTTTATATGCATGGCATATGGATTTTGATCTGTTTGGTTGAGGGGATTCAATAATTAACTTGTCAGTCTTTCTGGAGCCATGATTTTTTTTAAACAAATGGGAGAGAGAGAGTTCTTGGAGTTATGATGGAAACTTAGTTACGGCATGAGAATTTTACAATTGGACAGAGCTTTTGGTTTTAAACAATCAGGAATTGATTTTGCTTGGAGGTGGAACCCATAGATTGCAAAGCTTTTGGGTTCAATTCATAGAAATCCTGGTTGAAGTTAGATGTAAAAAGAGTTTCTCCTGGGGAAGTCATAGAGTTGGTCAGCACGGAAACAGACTCTCCAGTCCAGCCTTCAGGACAATCAGGGAATAAATTACCACAGTGTGAGGGTTTTAGTTTGAAAGTTCCAGATTAAAAGTGTTTGATTAGAACATTGAAGCGGTTATTTGAAAGTGAAAAAGTTTAAGGCCAGTCGTGTGAAAAATCAAAGAAGGGGTGATCAACTTTTTTTTCTTAACCCAAGATCCTTTTTTATTGAATTTCAATTCCACCATCTGTCATGGCGGGATTTGAACCTGGGTCCCCCTCGAGCCTAAACTGAAACAAAGAACTGTGGATGCTGCGGATCTGCAACAAAAACAGAAATTGCTGGAGAAACTTAGCAAGCCTGGCAGCCTCTGTGGGAAGAAAGCAGAGTTAACGTTTCGAGTCCAGAGACTCTTCACCAGAGGTTATCAAACTTTCAAGAGATGATGAAAGGTCACTGGACTCAAAATGTTAACTCTGCTTCTCTCTCTACAAATGCTGCCAGACCTGCTGAGTTTCAACAGCACTTTCGGTTATTACTGGACAAGTTAGATCCCAGACAGAAATCTGGTTTGACAGACCATTTGTTTGAGCTAGCTTCAATAAGGTGATGTTTCACTGAAACACATTTAGACAATATTGCAGATTCAGTTTAATAATAGGAAAGTAACAAGTAGCATTCATCTCAGACAATGACCCCTCATCTCCAACAGAGAGATTTGAACCATTGTCCCTTGACATTCAATAGCATTACTATCACTGAATGTCCCCCTATCAACATCACGGGGGTTACTATTGACCAGACCATAGAAACACAGAAATATAGAAGACAGAAGCAGAAGGAGGTCATTCAGCCCTTGGAGCCTGCTCCGCCTTTAATCACAATCATGGCTGATCATCCAACTCAATAGCCTAATCCTGCTTTCTCCCCATAACCTTTGATCCTATTTGCCCCAAGTGCTGTATCTCATTACCTCTTGAATACATTCAATGTTTTGGCATCAACTACTTCCTGTGGTAATGAAATCCACAGACTCACCACTCTTTGGGTGAAGAAATGTCTCCTCATCTCCGTCCTAAATGATTTACGCCGAATCCTCAGATTGTGACTGGGGAGGTGATGGTCCTAGTGGTATTATCGCTGGTCTGTTAATCCAGGGACCCAGATAATGTTCTGGGGACTAGGTTCAATCCCGCCACAGGAGGTGGTGGAATTTGAATTCAATGAATATCTGGAATTAAGAATCTAATGATGACCATCAATCCATTGTCAATTGTCAGGGGAAAAACCCATCTGGTTCACTAATGTCCTTTAGGGAAGGAAACTGTCATCCTTACCTGGTCTGGCCTACATGTGACTCCAGACCCACGGAAATGTGGTTGACTCTGAACTGCTCTCTGGGCAATTAGGGATGGGTAATAAATGCTGGCCTAGCCAGCGACACCCTCATCTCATTAATGAATAAAGACCTCTGGTTCAGGACAATCCACATCAGTAACATCTACACTGTCCAGTCCTGTTAGAATTTTATAAGTCTCTATGAGATGCCCCCTCATTCGTCTGAACTCTAGCGAAATCAATCCCAACCTAGTCAATCTCTCCTCATACGTCAGACCCGCCATCCCTGGAATCAGCCTGGTAAGCCTTCGCTGCACTCCCTCGAGAGCAAGAGCATCCTTCCTCAGAAAAGGAGACCAAATCTGCATACAGTATTCTCGTCAGAGGCTGAGTGATCTTATAGAGGTTTATAAAATCATGAGGGGCATGGATAGGGTGAACATCCAAGGTCTTTCTCTCAGGGTAGGTGAGTCCAAAACTAGAGGGCATAGGTTTAAAGCGAGAGGGGAAAGATTTAAAAGGGACCTAAGGGGCAACTTTTTCACACAGAGGGTGGTGTGTGTATGGAACGAGCTGCCAGAGAAAGTGGTGGAGGCTGATACAATTACAACATTTAAAAGGCATCTGGATGGGTATATGAATAGGAAAGTTTAGAGGGATATGGGCCCAATGCTGGCAAATGGGACTAGATCAATTTCAGACATCTGGTTGGCATGGACAAGTTGGACCGAAGGGTCTGTTCCTGTGCTGCATAACTCTATGACTATGTTGATCATTCCAATAAAACATGTATCTGACAGCTATCACACAATAAACTAAATCATATTTAAGATGAACCTTCTCTACCACACAAGACCAGTCATGCACTTTGTACCTGAACTTAAAAGGAGGAGGGCGGCAACAGATCTACCTTATGTATCTTTCACAACAATGACTGTGATAAGGATCCATTGTACAATATCAGTTACCATAGCCTCTTCCTGGTCAGTTACTATCCCTTACGCTCCATTGCTCTTCTGTATTGTCCTCCCTTTCATTTCTTCTACCAGCCCTCTATCTATAACTACATCCTCTCTCCTGCCATTACCGTGTCTCCTGTTAGTTAGTCCACTCCCTCTGGTCAGCTATTGCGCTCTCTCCCCTGTCTGTTACTGTACCCACCCCCTCTATATCCTGTCAGTTACCACAATCTCTCTACTGTCAGTCACTACACACTCTCCCTCCCTGTCCTGTCTGTTACTGCTCTCTCTCCCTCCCCGTCCTGTCTGTTACTGCTCTCTCTCCCTCCCCGTCCTGTCTGTTACTGCTCTCTCTCCCTCCCTGTCCTGTCTGTTACTGCTCTCTCTCCTGTCAGTTACTGTACCCAATCCCTGTCTCTCGTCAGTTACTGCACTCACTCACTCACTCTCTCTCTGTCTCTGTCTCTGTCTGTCTCTCTCTCTCTCTCTCTCCCTGTCCTGTTTGTTATTGCTCTCTCTTACTGCTCTCTCTCTCTCCCGCTATCCTGTGTGTACTGAACCCTCTCTTGCACTGTCTGCATGTTTCCTTTTCTCCTACTTTCTGATGTGTGTCTGTGTTGGCCCATTTCAACCGGGATCTCCTCCCCAGCCTGACGTCAATGTCCCGGGGCGGTGCACACACACGGAGAGAGGGTCAGAGAGTCGGTAGTGGCCTGAGCTGGGCGCTGAGATGGCCGGCAGCCTGGCCTTACAGAGTTCGCAATGGTTCCCCAGCCACGTCCAGGTCACCGTGCTGAGAGCCAGAGGCTTGAGAGCGAAAGGCAAACACAACAGCAGCGATGCGTTTGCTATCATCCAGCTGGGCAAGGAGAGATACTGTACCTCGGTGCTGGAGCAGAGCAGGGACCCTGAGTGGAAGGAGGAGTGTGTCTTCGAGGTTCTCCCAGACTGGTTGCTGGACGGTGAAGGAGGGGGACATGGAGCAGGCAAGGAGCTGCTAATTACCATCATGCACAGGTCCCTGCTGGCCATGGACAAGTTTCTGGGACAGCTCGCCCTGCCCCTGGCTGCAACCTACCGGCACAAGACCAGCAGAAAACCAGAGTGAGTTCACCACCACCCCGCCCCGAATCCTCTCCACCACCTTCTGATCCCCCAACACCCCACCCCACCCCACTAAACCATACCATTACCATACCCCACCCCACCATACCATACCATACCATACCCCACCATCTGCCAGAGGTAGCAGAAGGTGGTTGAAGTTACTGAAGTTGGAGGGGGATAGAACCAGTCAGGTCGCGGTGGGGAGGTGAATGGTGTGAGAGGCAGCCTCCTAGTGTCCCCACTGTCACCGCGGTGAATGGAGAGCCCCCCCCGCTTGTGTGTGTATCTCCCCGGAGTTTGTGAACTGGGTCTTGGGTGGTGCCTACCCCCCGGGGCCAGAGCTCAGGCTGAACACGTTCCTCTAGAGTGTACTGCGGAAAAGCTCCGTCCCTGCAGTCCCACAGGCCACGGGCAGGGAGCTGTTCCAGTAACTTGCTGCATTCCACTCGCAAGTTGCCAAAAGGCAGTGTTTTGTTTTGTTTTGGTTTGGTTTTAATGTGGGACCCGGGGGTGGGGGAGAAACGGTTGCACAAAGTGGAATGGCTACGTTTTTGGCAACAGGAAAGGAACATTCCCGATGAGAGAAGTAGAGGGGAAAAAAAACTACGTTTCTCTAGCGCCTGTCGCAACCACAGCCACTGTCTCAGTGTTTAAAGTGTGGCCGCTGTAATTACCCGAAAGTCGCACAGTAAGATCCCACGGTCATTATGCAGCACCTTGATTTTGTGCACTTGGTTGAGGGATACTGGAGCATAAGACCATAGAATGTTAGATGCACCATTCAGTAGGCCACTCAGCCCATTGAATCTGTTCTGCCAATCATTGAGCTCATGGCTGATCTGATAGTCCTCAAAAAAAAACAGAAGTTGCTTGAAAAGAACTCGACCCAAAACGTTAACTCTGATTTTGTCTTCAAAGATGCTACCAGACCTGCTGAGCTTTTCCAGGAATTTCTGTTTTTCTTTCTGCAGTTCTTTCAGTTTTTACTTATTGATAGTCCTCAACTCTACTTTTCCTGCCTTATCCCCATAACGCTGGATTCCATTCCTGGTTAAAAACCTATCTAGCTCAGCCTTGGATAAGACAGTTGTGTCTGGGCTGGTGTCTGGGGATAACATCCTGTTTGCAATAAAAAATAGACAGTGCTGTAGAAACTCAGCAGGTCTGGCAGCATCTGTGGAGAGAAAGCAGCATTAACTCCAATTGGATGGTTCTGCAAAATGTTAACTGTTTCTGAGTCTGTTCTGTTCCTGCTGAGTTTTTCTAGCACTTTGTCATTATTTCACGTTCCTAGCATCTGCAGTATTTTGCTTCAATTTTAGGTAACATTGCATTTTTTAAACTTACTGGCAGGCCAGCATTTATTGCCCTTGAGAAGGTGGTGGTGAGCTGCCTTCTTGAAATGCTGCAGTTCTATGTGCTGTAGGTTGACCCACAATTCCCTTAGAAAGGAAATTCTAGGATTTTGACCCAGTGACAGTGAAGGAACAGTGATATATTTCCAAGTTAGGATGGTGAGTGGATTGGAGGAGAATTTGCAGGTGGTGTTCCCATGTATCTGATGCCCTTGTCCTTCTAGATGAAAGAGGTTGTGGGTTTTGAAATAGTGGCATCAGAGCATTTGTGTTCACCTTGGTTTGATATCTCCTCTTGTCAGTGAACTGTCACTGAAGTGCACTTTATGCTCAATTATGTAGAGTCCGGCTTGAACCCACAAATGCCTGGTTCAGGTAGTAATGTGACCTGCTGAGCCCGAGCTAGCAGTTTTTGCAGCCATGCGTCACGGCTTTATGTGGTGGGGTGTTGAGGAGGTACCAGAGGTGTCTTGATGAGAAGTTCTACGTTTCAGGAAAGGCTGGGGGTCTCCTTTTATATAAAAAGGAGAGGAGGCTTCATGAAGTTATGTTAGTGGAGAGTTGCCACTTGGGCTAACCAAAGGCCATCAATAAAAGACAGTGAGCAATGAGTATCGGAGGCAAAAACAGAAATTGCTGGAAAAGCTCAGCACATCTGGCAGCATCTGTGGAGAGAAAGCAGAGTTAACATTTCGGGTTGAGTGAGGGGGAGATTAGGGTCGGTGGTGTGATGTTGGGGTTGAGTTTTTTAGGGGAAGGGAAAGGGTTTCTGGGTGGCGGTGGAAGGGAGTGGGTTCTGCGGCTTCGATGGCTGTGGCAAATGGGGTCTTTCTGGGAAGGGTTTGTGGATGGAGTGCATCGGGACTTGGTTGGGCGGTGTTGGAGAGTGGGTGTTGTTGGAGGGCATGGGGAGGGGTTGAGAGGGGATGGGGGAGTGTTTTGGAGGATGGGGAGAGCTGGGGGACAGGGGGAGGGAGGAGAGTCGGGGGCGGGGAGAGTGGGGCCTGGGGGAGGGGTGAAATTCGGGGGCGGGAAGAACTGGGCCTGGGGGAGGGGAGAGAGCTGGGGTGTGGGGAGAGATGGGAGACTCGGGGTGTGGGGAGAGTTGGGTTAGGGGGTGCCGCTGTTGAACAGCTGGAGTTTGAAGTGTGTGGCGAGGAAGATCTGACATCTTACTGGAGAATCCAGGGTTACAGGGAAAAGGTAGGAAATTGGGCATGAAATGTGGTAAAGGCTCGAAGGGCTGAGTGGCCTGCTCTTGTTCCTATTTCCTAAGGTGTTACGGACTCAGGCACACAAAATGCAGATGTCTGTTTCCAGCTTGCCTTCCTGACTCCAGTCTGACCATTGTCTACCTTTGCTGGCCACCGTCAGCCTCCTCCCCAGGAACTGAGACAGTGAGAGCCATGTGGTGCGGAAACAGACAGTGCTGGAGAAACTCAGTAGGTGTGTGGGAAGAAAGCAGGGTTAACATTTTAAGCCTGGTGATTTATCAGAACTGTTAGTAGCTGGGAAAAAGTGGTATTCACGAACCTGAAGTGGGAGCAAAGGGGAGAGGTGAGTGGATAGGTGGAGACAAGTCCGGAGAGAGACAAAGATATGAAAGGGATAAGTAAATGAGATTATAGATAGCTGACTGGGACAAAGAAAAGCTTAATAAATGACAGTAGGAGCTTAGAGTGAGAAATGGGTTCATTGTGCTGAATGGAACCTTTATGTTATCATGGGCTTGGGAGTACATGGGAATAGGTGACTGTGCTAAAAGAAACCTGTGTCATAACAGAAGATAGCAGGAATTGCAGATGCTGGAGTCAGAGTCAATACAGTGTTGAGCTGGAGGAATACAGCAGGTCAGGCAGCATCAGAGGAGCAGAAGTTTTACACCATTCATCAGGACTGGGGGGTGGGTGAAGGGAACTTGGAAACAAATGGGAAGGAAGGTAGGTGGGATGGTGATAGGTGAATGCAGGTAGAGGATAGTGGAGATTGGTCAGTGGGATGGGTGGGGTGGATAGGTGGGAGAGAAGATTTACAGGTTGTGTCAGGTCAAGGAGGTGGGATGAGAGGGAGGGTTGGACATGGGATGAGGCCGGGACTGGGGAGATTTTGAAACTGATGAATTCCATGTTTAGGCCATCGGGCTGTAGGCTCCCGAGGCGAATTGTGAGGTGCTGTTCCTCCAGTTTGCGGGTGGTATCATTGTGACACTGGAGGAGGGCCAGGATGGACATGTCGCCCAGGGAGTGGGAGGGGGAGTTAAAATGTTTGGTGACTGGAAGGTATTGTTGATTATAGTGTACAGAGTGCAGATGCTCCACGAATTGGTCTCCGAGTCTGCACTTGGTCTCACCGATGTAGAGTAGCAATGGGCACCCATGTGGACCCTATGCCTGCCTCTTTGTAGGATACGTGGAACAGTCCCTTTTCCACTGTTACATCGGCACTATCCCCCACATCTTCCTCCACTATATCGATGACTGTATCGGTGCTACCTCATGCTCCCGTGAGGAGCTTGAATAGTTCATCAACTTTCCTAACACTTTCCACCCCCAACCTTAAGTTCACCTGGTCCATCTCGAATACCTCACTCTCCTTCCTGGACCTCCTGGTCTCCGTCTTTGGTAACCACTTCAACACCGACATCTATTTCAAACCCACCGACTCCCACAGCTACCTAGACTACACCTTCTCTCATCCACCTTCCTGCAAGAATGCGATCCCCTACTCCCAATTCCTCCGCCTCCGCTCCCAAGATGGGGCATTCTACTCCCACACATCTCAGATGTCCTCTTTCAAGGACCATAATTTTCCCCCTCCGGTGATCAAAAATGCCCTCAACTGCATCTCTTGGATTACCTGCACTTCTGTCCTCAAACCCCTCCTCCCACCACCCCCCAACGAAAATAAGGATAGAGTCCCCCTGGTCCTCACATACCACCCCACCAACCTCCGCCATTTCAACCAACTACAATTTGACCCCACAACCAAAGAGATATTTCCCTCCCCACCCCTCTCTACCTTTAGTAGGGACCGCTCTCTCTTCACGACTCCCTCATCCACTCCACACTCCCCACTAACGCCACCACCCCTGGTACCTTTCCATGCAACCGCAGGAAGTGCTACACTCACTCCTACACCTCCCCCTCACCTCCATCCAAGGCCCCAATCTTTCCAAATCTGACAGGGATTCACCTGTACATCCTCCAACCTGGCCTACTGTATTTGTTGCTCTCAATGTGGTCTCCTGTACATCAGACTTGATGACCGATTCACGGAGCATCTACCCTCTGTACGTTATAATCGACACCACCTTCTGGTTGCTAACCATTTCAACTACCCCCTCCCACTCCTGGGTGACATGTCCATCCTGGGCCTCCTCCAGTGTCACAATGATGCCACATGCAAACTGGAGGAGCAACACCTCATATTCCGCCTTGGGAGCCTATAGGCCAATGGCCCGCAACATGGAATTCACCAGTTTTAAAATCTCCCCATTCCCAGCCTCAACCCCGTCTCCTTGACCAGACGCAACCTGTCCATCTTCTTCCCCACCTATCCACTCCAACCTTTCCACTGATTGATCTCCACTACCCTCTACCTGCATTGGCCAATCACTATCACACCTACCTCCCCCCAGCCCCA